TGAAGAACTTGTCCGGACGCTTGGGTCGGTGGATACTACGCTTGCAGGAGTACGACTTTGACATAACTTACCAGTCAGGCAGAAAACATCAAGACGCCGATGCTTTACCTCGTTGCCCGCTTCCAACTACCCATATGAGCGTTGGTGAGAACTCAACCGCCACATCTACCAAAGTTCATACGCTCGCATCAATAACGCAATCCTTTTCGGACGACGAGCCAACATTTATCTCCCGCCAGCGGTCCGATTCATACTGAAGACGCATGATGGACCACCTTTCGGGAGTTTCTCATCCACCAAACACGCAACTTCGTCGTCAACTCCTGCACTTTAAGCTGGACAATGGGGTTCTCTACCGCCACGTCTACCACCCTCACGGTCAGCGCTGGGTTCCTGTACTGCCACGCTCTCTTCGACTTCAGGTGCTCGAAGCCTTCCACGATGACTTGACTGATGGTCATCTTGGTTTTAAAAAAAACTCTTGACCGCATTCGATGTCATTACTGGCCTGGCTTTTCTTCTAGTGTAGCTCGGTACGTCGGTTCCTGCTACCCATGCCAGCGTCGTAAACTCCCCACGTCTGCACCTCCTGGACCTCTACAGCCACTTCCGTGCCCTTCAATGCCTTTCGAGGTTGTAGGTGTTGACTTTTACGGGTCTCTCCCCGTCACATCTGCTGGCAAACGATAGATAGTGACCGCCGTTGACCACCTGACACACTACGCTGAGACTTCCTCTGTTATTACAGGCTCAGCTGTGGAAGTTGCAGACTTTATTCTTCACGCCATAATCCTGCGTCATGGGGCTCCTCGTGTACTGCTTAGTGATCGCGGCAAAGTGTTCCTGTCACAAATGGTAAATGAAGTACTGCGCGCTTCTGGAACTACTCACAAGACAGCTTCAAGCTATTACCCTCAGACAAATGATCTCACAGAAAGATTTCACTGAACCCTTGCAGACATGATAGCCGTTTACGTCCAACCCGACCACAAAAACTGGGATACTCTTTTACCATTCCTGACATTCGCTTACAACACCGCCGTTCAGCGAACAACTTGCTACTCACCGTTTTACCTCGTGTACGGACGCACCCCGAATACCTTTCTCGACGTCTCCTTCTTTAGCAGCCATGGGCATTCATGTCAGTCTTCTAGCGAAGAATACATTTCCCGCCTGGCCCAGTCTCGCCATCAGGCTCGCATCAATACTGAAGCGAGACAGCACGAGCGGAAGATCATCTATGACGAATCCCACCGCGTTGTGTCTTTCCAACCTGGTGACGAGGTGCTGCTTTTGACACCTATTCGCACTCCTGGTCTCTGTGACAAATTACAACCACGCTTCATCGGGCCATACATTGTTTTAGAACAGACTTCGCCGGTTAATTATCGTGTGACACCACTCGTCGCCCCAACAGACCGCCGCTACCGCAGCACAGAGATTGTCCACGTTTGTCGCATGAAACCTTTCACGCGACGTTCCCCGTCACTTTGACTAACGGCGGCCAGGGTGTCCGCTTCCAAGTGGGGGAATTAGTGTGGGCATTTGTTACTTACATCGTCCTCATCCCTGCATGATCACAATCACCATCATCCGCTTGTCTCTTTGTCCTCATGGCCACTCTGGGTCATCATCATCGTCATCGTCTGTGTACTGGCTCTGCCCGTTCGTTTTGCGAGGTCTTTCCTCAATTAAACGCTGTCGCAACCAAGACTACCAAGACTTCATACACGCAATGCCTCTCTATATATATATATTCTCGAAGGGCCTGTCAATGTCCAAGTTGGATGTCCTAGAGGGATGTCAAGCGAACGTACAAATTTGTTACCTTTGCACATCTGATGTACGTCCATCGTACGTACAGTGTACATTCGTGGACATCTCATGGATGTTCAGAATATCCGAAATGTGCGTCCTGTCATATGCCTACTGGATATCTGTGGTTACTTGGGCAGTGGTACCCTTAGTGTGGTAGCCAATTGTACTGCAGGTAAGCAGGCTTGATCAGTCGCCTAGTTTGAGCTATAATCTAGTGACTCTCGCACTGTACTGTGACCTTGGGTTCATAAGCCCACATTTGTTGCCATACTGCCCAGAATGCGCTGTGTTGGAGTCAACAGACCTGGCCTTAACATCTTTGTATGTTGCTCTGTCTGTCTGTCTGTGTGCGATGTGAATGCCGAATTCAATCTCTAAGGCGGAAAACACGCCTTGGTTGCCATGATTTGACACTGCACAGTTGAAAGCCAAATGCCGCATCGTCATGAGATAACGAAAATTTGGCTTGAATTGAGGGGAAAAGCCAGTAGCCAAGAAATAGCCAGGCAGCCAAGAAATTTTCCTGCCGCCATCGGCCAAAAAAAAAGTTGCCTAATTGGCATGAAGTAGTCAAATCTGAAAACCCGGTGCATAAGCGCACCTGAAGTGCTATCCGCTACCACAGAGAGGGTCGACCAGATGTGCAACTGAAAAGTGCTGAATAAGTGCGCCACGTAACCAGCTCATGCAGGCCTGTCGGCATCTGTCTATGATGAATGGGTACCAGCAAGAAGAGAGCCGGAGGAAAGAGGGGGCCTGGGGCCTGAAATGGGTGGTCAACAAGGTAAAGCCAGGCCCTATGTGACTACTTGGTGATAGAACACAAAGGGGAAGCACTCGCAGCTCCAAATGTTTCACTGACACAAAGAATGTGGTAGATTGGCATCTCATCTCGTTTGTCCAAGCTCATCAGCCTTCAGCACACCGTGGCTAGCAAACAGCAGTGTGCCAACAGCTGACAGTTATTGCTAAAGCTGTGACAAGTCATGACATCCACGAAAACACGACAAACACAGTAGAAATTTTTGGCAGCCAGGCTGGCCAGAAACAAAAGTGAACAAGTGCGCCTCTTGTTGTCACTTTGGAGCTAAGCCTACTACGCCACAGTCACAAGCAGAATGCTCATGTGAATTCTGCGGCTTTACGCCTCACCGGTGTTCGGACTACCCAACTCAACATTCCGCCAGCAACTTCAGCAAAAAGAAAGGCCACTTTGCAGAGGTGTGCTGCTCACAGAAGTATAAGCAGGAAAGCTTGGCTCCATTCGCCTGCATGCCGTCGGGACACCCGCTGCAGCAAAGCTTGTCGCCGTTGCCGCTGACAACTACACAGCACAGTTTAAAATAGACATTTAGGCTGAAGCATCTGCCATGCCTAGCGACATCCCTACGCTGCCCGACAAGCTAAACCAAGTCAACAGTCTTCTCAACAGCCCTGGAGGGCAGCCATTTTGCATGACTTCCGAACCAAGTAAAAATGAATTGTCAGCGCCCCTGTGTGATTTAGTCTCTCACTGTGCCTCTTTTGAGACTGCCAGAAATCCAATAACTCGAAATAGTGAAATTTCTTGACCTCAAATGTTCAAAAGCAATGCTGCATGCTGAGCTCTGGACGAGTATATGCTACGGCTGAAACCCGATGCCGTGCCATTATGCTAAGCGTCCCTCGCAGGATCTTTATTTCACTGCTCAAGGCCCCCAGCGAGCCGGGCAAATTGGAAAAAGAAACATCACTAGAGTTAGAGTACTGCTCGGAATAATGAATCACTTCCCCTAATTCTTGCATACATCTCAAAAAGCACAGCACCCATTAGGACCTTGCTGAACAAGCGTCCAAATTGGGTACGGAAGTATGAGCAAAAAGCATCATTTGGGAAAATAAAGTATTCTTGACACCAGAAAGGTGTGTGGCCAAACAACACCCGTCATATGCCACCAGTGTCTGCAAAAGCAAGCCCGTTTGGACTCGGTGCAGTCTTGCAAAGCAATCAACTCTCTGGAGAGCACCGCCCATTTGCATTGACATTGAGATCAACAACTCCGGACGAATAGCTTTATAAACAGAATTAAAAAAAAGCTTGGGTAATGTGAGCTATCTGAAAGTTCAATGAGTTTATCTGTAGCAACCCTGTCAACACACAGACTGACCACCTGCCGCGCTTGTTTCACCTCTGTGTAAGATGGAGCTGGACATATTACCACCTCAGATTCAAAGACTATGGCTCAAGAACATGCAACACTAGTCCAACATGCCGCACAGGCCAGGAAAGCTGCTAGCCACAGCACAACCTCGTAGCGCATCACCCACAACGCATTCACTCATCCAGACACTGTGGACACTCCATTCTCCCATCGGACTTTTCAAGCTTGAAGATAGAGATGTAGAGGTTGCCACGATATAGCCCCTTTGTTATGCTGCCAACGGAGTGTGGCGCCCCCTGTAACTTGTATGTGCGTGCCCGGACCCAATAAAAAGCGAGTGAACTTTCTTCCAAGCAAGCAGTGCGTGCATGTCAATCACTGCGTGCCCATGACCCTCTGGCACTAACAACATAGCAGTTTCGTCCCTCCATTTGCTTGTCCACTTTGATTTGGTGGAAAAATGCTGTTATGAATCACAATCTTTGAGTGATCGATGGATGAATGAATGAAAAACTTTTATTGTGGTCCTGAAGGATTCCACCACCTTTTTATAGGGGTAGGATCGCGGGCTGCTCTCACGTTGGAACGGGGAGGCCCAGCTTCACCGCCGCATCGTGAGCCTTCTGGACAGCCTTGAGTTGTTGTATGAGAACCGGACTCGTGAGCATTAAATGAAAGGAGTTCTCAGAAAATTCTTCATTTTTTCTTTGTAAAGAGGGGCACCTCCAGAGTGAGAAAAAAAAAAATCTGACACACAGTCCCATGCTGGTATTGTAATGGACACAGGAGTACAAATATACTTCTTTCAAAGAACGTGTGAACTAGAAGAAAGAAACTCACAACTGCATCACATCATTTTTCAATACCTCAGCTACGAAGTGTAGGGCCAGAAAAGGGTGAAAAATTGGAGCATTTCAACAATGATTAACTACTCTGCCTGCGAATGAAGTTCAATATGCAGGTATGAGATTTTCAAGTGGATGTTACTGGCAATGCCAAGCTATCATCATTCCATGGCCAGTTATAACAGTATCTGCCTACCTGCACATTGCTTAGCAAATGGGCACGTCTAAGAGGTGTGTTTGTGATCAGTGCTGCAGCAGATTCGCAGCCTGGTGACACGCAGCATCCAGGCAGCCACAGCTGTGTACAGCTTGCCTGCCATCAGAACCAGCACGAACTGGTGTGCCAGCGCCCAGAGCCGATAATGGGGGCCATAGAATGGGTCCGACACAGCGGGGCACAGCATGCTGTTCAGGTTTACTTCAGTCGCCTGCACACATTTCAGACACAACAATATTAAGCACGAAATTATTTTAGCTGAAAGTTTTCAGCAACGTTTGCATTTTATTGAGCCATACAGCCATTCAAACAGGATCATCTGGGCATTGTTGTAAGATCAAAAACGATACATCTGAGCAATCAGTCGAGTTAAGTACAGTACACTCTCAGTGATCTGAAACTTCTCAAACAAAATGCTGCTTTAATGGAACAACTGTCTCTGATATCATTGGTATCATACTAGGCCAGCACAGTGTAACAACACATCTCCAAAAAAAGAAGAGTACAGAGCTCTTTTACCAGTGCGAGCGCTTGCAGGATGAGGAAGTGGTAGAGGTACTGCAGTGCCAGGCTGAGCAACGCCCAGCTGAGGTCAGCCAGGGGCTCTGTGCTGAAGACGCCACCAAGCCGCTTCAGGTAGCAGGGCACAGCCAGCATCAGTCCATGCTGCACCCAGTACACTTCTTGCTCTAGTGGCAGCAGCCGTGTGTTCAGCACCGGAAACAGCAGGGCCAGCAGGGGACCGTTCAGCCAATGGACGTGTACTCGAAACAGCACTGTCAGCAGGCGAGACGTGGGAGGTGCGGCGAGCATAACTATCTGAAAGGCATGTTTTGGGACACAGTACTTCAGGCACACATTTTGGTACTTCATTTTGGTAATTAATCTGCAGTAGCAGTTGATTGTTCACAAAGTACTTGGTACCGCTCAGTTGAAACATGGCAAGTTCGATAATCCTCGTTGCGGTCAGATGTACCTCCACAGCTGCTAGACACTAATCTAAAGGGACACTAAAGTGAAACAATAAGTTAGTTTAGACAGATAAATTATACTATGAAAACTCTGGCCTCCTTAATTTCCTCACCATATGTATATTGCCATAAAGACCCACGTATAGTCCAAGATATTTTTTTTTCTAGACTTTATCATGCAAAAATCCTGCAACATATTATAAGCGGATCCAAAGAATATTCAACTAGAATTCACAGTTTTGGCTTTGGTATTGCACGGCACTCTTATCATCATTAGGCTTCTGTGTTAGGTAGCATTTATGTCCCTAGGTATTTTTTCTCTTATAAAAAAAATCTAGGAATTTTAGGTGTTATCATTATTGCTGGCATTGGCTGTCCTAGCAATTACTTGGTACACATCACCACGGCCACAATATTACGCCATGTCAGGACCGCGACAGCAGCATTTGGCTGCCTTTAAAAAAAATGGCGATCTCAGCCACTGAAACTATCAGCAACTGTGCTGCGGGGCCGCAGTTCAACGAAAACAAGTAAAACATTTGTGGTTGGTGGAAACGGAAGACAGTGCTCTTCATGAGCAGCAGGTTAGGTTAGGTTAATTTGGTTTTCTATGGCGCAAAAGCAGCTAAGGCTATGCTGCGCCAGACACAAGACTTTCAGGAATGGACACTAAAAAGATGAGATTTTAAAGCTTATTTAACAGGTTACATTCTTTCAGAAAGTTTAGCAAGTCAGGCAGAGGTACTAGAGGGTCATCTCCTAGGAACAAAGCAGGGTGTAAAGGTACGTGTTGTTTGTATAGCTTGCTGAAATGTTTTTGTCTCTGTGTTTCAATGGTAGGACATGTGATTAGGATGTGCATAAGTGTTAACGCTTCTTGGCATTTTTCACACGTTGGTTGTTCTTCCTTTGCGAGTAAGAAGTTGTGTGTCAAGTGTGTGTGTCCAATGCGAAGTCGGCATAATACAACTTCAATAAACCGTTGCTGGTGACGGCAGGTCTTCCATTCCCTGAGTGTGGGTTTCACCAGGTGGAGCTTATTGTTCGTGCAGGTGTCCCATTGCTTTTGCCATTTTGCTAGTAGGGCCAGGCGAATTGTTCTCTGGATATCTTTAAGGGGAATTTTTACTTTTGTTACTGTTTTATGGGCTGCCTGGGAAGCATACATATCTGCTTTTTCGTTTCCGGGTATCCCAACATGACTTGGAACCCAGCAGAAACGGATGCAGGTTGCCTGGCTGTTTAAGTGTACCATGTTTAGAATGTCGCCTACTATAGGCTCACATTCGGATTTTATATGTAGTGCTTTTAATGTGCTTAGTGAGTCGGTGTATATGATTGCTTTCTTGTATTTTTCAGCGATGATTTTCCGAACTACTTCACTCAAGGCATAAGTTTCAGCTGAAAAAATAGAAAAACTACGAGGTACTTTCGCAGAAATTGCGCTTTTCGTCGTCACAATCCCAATACCCACGTGGTCCTCCGTTTTTGAGCCATCTGTGTAAAATTCTTCGTAATCCCTATATTCGTGCTGAAGTGTATAAAATTCTTGGATTATGTGTTCTGGTGGGGTGCTTTTTTTGTTGAAACGGCTTAGTGAAAATTCGCATAGCTGTGACAGGTCAAACCATGGCGGCAGTCTTGGTGGTTTAATAGCGACATCTAGTGATTCATCAGGAATGGTATAAAAGCGGCAGTATTCCTCGAAACGTAGGACAAGTGGTTTGATTAGGTTCGGTTTGTTGAGGTAGTGTGAGCGCGAGTCACATTTTGCGGCAATTTCGTAGCAGATGTGTTCAGGTGACGACCTTATTTTTAAAACATATGACAAGGTTAGTAACGCTCTTCGATCACATAGAGGGGGCTCATTGCATTCTACGTATAGACTTTGCACAGGTGATGTTCTGTAAGCACCACTGGACAGACGGAGACCGAGGTTGTGTATAGGGTCAAGGCGGCGGATGTATGAGTTTCGCGCCGAGTCGTAGACTATGCATCCGTAGTCTAAAATGCTGCGTACAAGAGATCGGTAAATACGTATAAGGCAGAGTCGATCGGAACCCCAGTGTTTATGGGAGAGTAGTTTGAGCACATTGAGTGCTCTGTTTGCCTTAGTTTTCAGTGCATTTATGTGTGGCAGAAAGTTTAGTTTTCGGTCGAATGTGATTCCTAGAAATTTGTGTTCTTGTTTTACCGGCATGTTGATGTTGTATAGTTTGAGCGCGGGTTCAGGGAACAATCCTCTCTTTTGTGTAAAGAGAACAGCTGTGGTTTTTTGGGCTGAAAAGCGGAAACCATTTTGGTCGGCCCATTTCGTAAGCCGATTTATTGTAATTTGGAGTTGCCTTTCGCAGGATGATAGGCTGGAGGCTCGGCATGCAATTTGCAGATCATCAACATAGATGGAGTGCATGACTGTACGGGGTATAGCTCTGTTGATGGAGTTCATTTTCACTATAAACAGGGTGGTGCTCAAAACACAGCCCTGTGGTACACCATTTTCTTGGACAAATATTCGTGACAGTACCGTACCCAAACGTACTTGAAAAGTTCTATTCGATAAAAAATCGTATAAGCAGTTCAGCATTCTTCCGCGAATCCCTAAGTTAGCTAGATCTCTGAGAATTCCGTATCTCCAAGTTGTGTCATATGCTTTCTCTAAGTCAAAGAAGACCGAGAGACAGAACTGTTTGTGTAGAAATGCTTGTCGTATTTCTTGTTCCAGCCTAACAATGTGATCAGTGGTGGAACAGTCCTTTTTGTATCCGCACTGGTGTGCGTCTATTAGGTGCTCTGATTCCAGAGTGAAGGTAAGTCTGATATTTATGATGCTTTCGTAAGTTTTTGCAAGGCCACTTGTTAACGCAATGGGTCAATAGCTACTTGGGGTTGTTGGGGGTTTACCAGGTTTTAGGAATGGTATGACTATGGCTTTTTTCCAATCTTCAGGCATTATGCCAGAGTCCCATACTTTGTTGAAGAATTGGAGAAGTGCTTTCGCGGATGCTTGGGATAGGTGTGCCAACATTGCGTAGTGTATCTGGTCAGACCCTGTTGCCGTTTTTTTACCGGCAGAAAGTACCCTGTTCAATTCGTGCAGCGTAAGCGGAAGGTTATAACTTTCATTTGAGGTACTGCTAGTAGGCAATCTTTGTCTTTCTGCATTTTCTTTATATTTCAGGAATGTATTGGTGTAATTTGCTGAGCATGATACCTCATAAAAGTGTTCTCCTAATAGGTTGGCCTGGTCTTCTAGTGTTGATTGTGTGTCTGGAGTTGTAAGCAGTGGTATTGTGTAGGAGGAGTACTCTCCCTTGAACTTCCTCACCTGGTCCCAGATGTGTTTAGATGTGACTGAACTGTTAATTGATGATATGTATTTTTGCCATGAATCCTTTTCTGCCTGTCTTCGAATAAATCGGGCTCTGGCTTTTGCCTGTTTGAAGTTGATGAAGTTGGTGTAGGTGGGGTATCTTCGTAGAATTCCCCAGGCCTTATTTTGTTGTTTTTTGGCATCAGTACACTCGTTTGTCCACCAAGGGTTGAATTTCTTGCGTACGATGCCGGATGATTGCGGTATTGCTTTTTCTGCTGCTAAGATTAAAACTTTGACGAACTCTTCGTTTAGTTCCTCAACAGAAAGCTCCGATGAGAAAACTTCATCGAGCTTAGCATTTTCTGTGAAAACTGGCCAGTTCGCGAGCTGTAATTTCCACCGGCGTGGCCTGCTTGTTAGAGTTGGGTAAGATGGTATGAATTTTATGATGCCGGGTTGATGATCACTACCATAAGACGTGTTGACGACGTCCCATTTAAAATCATTAAAAATACACGGTGAACACATGGCGAGATCTAAGCAACTAAAAGTGCGCGAGGTTGGTGAAAAGTAGGTAAAAGCACCGGAATTAAGAAGGCAGATGTCATTTGATAAAATTAAATCTTCCACGGCTTGCCCTCTTGCGTCAGTTTTGTCGCTACCCCAAAGGGTTGAATGAGCATTGAAATCCCCAACTAAGATAAATGGTTTTGGCAACTGTTCCACTAGATTTTCTAGGTTTTTGGTGGTGAAAAGGGTGTGAGGTGGGATATACAGTAAGCAGATGGTGATGGTTTTGTATGATAGGATGGTGACGGCTACGGCCTCGAAAGATGTGTTTATTTGGACATCTCGCGTAGGAGTGCTGCCCTGCACCACTATGGCTACTCCTCCTGAAAGACGGTTGCAATGTTCGCGGTCCTTTCGGGCAACTTTGAAGCCTTTTAGGAAATGACTGTGTTTTGCACCAATATTTGTCTCTTGGAGGCAAAAAGTTACTGGTGAGAATTTGTTAATGATGTCCTTTATGTCACCTAAGTTATGAATTAAGCCTCTACAGTTCCAATGTACGATAAAAGCCATGGCAGAATAAAGTTAAGTAAATATACTTCTGGGGATTGATCGGTATAAAAGATGATAGGTGACAATATTAAGAAATAGAAATAGAGAGAAATACGATAACCCTTACGGTTATCGCTTACTTATTGTGGTTACTGGGACTTTGTCCTTGTCCTGTTTGGTACGCTCGAGAGAGCGCTTGTCCTTCGGTGTCGATGACACCGGAGTTTTGTGGTCGATCTCCATTGCCTTGTCTGAGGCACTGGAAGATCGAGAGTGAGACGCTGAGAAACGGATCTCAGGCCTTGGCACTCTATTTAGTTTAGGGCCCAGGGAGACCGGAGTCTGCGGGCCCTTTGATGTGCATGGAGCAGCTGGCGCTGCTTCTTTTACGGGGGCGGTTTGAGCCACCATAGAACCACTGGGTGTGGTAGCGGTCGACTCCTGAGGCCTTTGTGACGCTGCCCCCGACTGCGTCACATCGGCGTAACTTCTGTGGAAAAGGTATGATAGCCGTGTTCGCGCTTCGCTGAATGATATTTTTTCTTTGACGGCCAGAGCGATCACTTCTTTTTCTTTTTTCCAACATGGGTATGACCGGGAACACGCTGGGTGTTCCCCGTCACAGTTAACACAGTAGGGTGAGGATGAGCAGTTTTCTGATTTGTGGTCATTTGCGCTGCATTTTGCGCATGTTTCTTTGCCTCTGCAAGAGTGCGAGGCGTGTCCGAATCTCTGACATTTGAAACAGCGTCTGGGGTTGGGAATGTAGGGTCTGACATTTATTTTTAACTACCCAGCCTTAAGAGAGGTGGGCATTTCACATGTTCCAAAGGTTAGTATTACGTGTTTGGTGGGCACTTCCTGATTATTGTGACGGATTACAATTCTTTGGGCTTTGATGACGTTTTGGTCTTGGAAACCTTCGAGGAGCTCTTCGTCACTAAGGCCTAAGAAGTCTTCCTCAGAGATTACTCCCCTGCTGGTGTTTAGAGAGCGATGGACCGAAACGGTGACAGCTGTTTCTCCAATGCTGGTTAGTTGGGATAGCTTAGGCACTTGGTCTTTTTCGGTTAGCTCCAAAAGGAGGTCACAGCTTGACATTTTGGATGCTTTGTATGTGGGTCCTATTTTTTCTTTTAGGCACTTGGCCACCAAAAATGGGGATAATTTTCTTATAGGTGTGCTGTCACTGTGGATAATGTGGTACTTCGCGAAAGTAGTTTTAGTTTCTTTCGAGACGTTATAACTTGCTTCGGTGCGGCCTCTCTTGCGAGACCGATCAAGGTCGGCGGATGCTTGTAAAGCCATACAAGTATGAATGTGTTCGGTAACAGCGGCGACCACCCACCACGAAGCCCAACAAGGGGACGCGGTTGGACTTGTTGAAACAAGCCCTCCCGACGCCAGCCGTACGCTGTCACTATAACCCAATGTAATTATCCAAGGTGGGATACCTACACAAGGTTAACCCTTGCCGCCATGAATATCGGAAGTAAACGGAAGAGAGTAGAAGACAGGACAGATAAATAGTAAGAGATAAAGACGAAGATGTAGGGAGAGAGAGATAGGAAAAGGCGACTGCCGATTTCCCCTGGGTGGGTCAGCCCAGGGGTGCCGTCTACGTGAAGCCGGGGCCAAAGGGGTGTGTTGCCTCTGCCGGGGGGCCTTAAAGGTCCAATCACCCAGCGTCGGCTCAACCCCCAGGATCCCCTTTTCCCTGGACACGGCAAAGCCACGTACGGCTAGGCGTGGGAGGGAGTCAAAACTCCCCTGTTAGCTCGGGTCCGTGGTGTCGCTACACACCAAACGCCTACTTGCGCAGGCGCCTCTGCGGGGCATGAGCAGCAGTCCAAGAAGTTTTCAGCAGCAGAAAAATGGAGCATTTTTCAAACATGGAACGAGAATCAAGAAACTATTTTCGGGAGCATTGAAGCACTGATGGGGCTTCTATTAATACTCTTGCTTGACGTGTTTCGGTGTCACCTCTATGAAGCGACTGCTGCTCGACTCTCATACTGAGCTTGTCACCAATCTGGAAGGGATGACATCACAGCTGTGCCTCAATAAACCAGCTAAGGACCCCATCAAGAACCTGCATATTATAGGGGTCTGTCCTATGTACAGCTGACGCAGACGCCTAACTAATGCTTCAGGCGCACACAGTCGTACCGTGCACGATTAACGTCCCCTATCTGTAGCTAGTCTCATTACAGCTACACGGGTTCGGGCGAATAAGGCAACAGGCTAGGTCAACAACAACACTATATTGCTAGGCGTTAGCAATTAGTGCACGTAAATGTCGCGAGGAGATAGTACAGAAAACAAGGATAGACGCTTACTCCTTGGTTGTTGACGTCCTCGGCTCGCAGGGGGTTGCGGGTTCGGCCACCTTCAGTTTCTAGCCGGTGTCAGAGAGAGCGTGCGGCTGTCCGCACGCTAGTTTCGTTCACTTGGTTTCCCTCTCCCTGATGAGAATAATACCTTTTCTCGCTGAGGGAAGGGAACCCGTTCCGCGCGCCGGGAAAGGGGTAATCGCGAGCGTTGGCCATGAAGTTGTTCCCACAACTAGGCTCTCGTGCTGCCGTGAAAGAGAAAGGGAAGCTGGCGCACGTGCTCCCCCACATCCTCCCGTTCAGTTTCAGTTTCCATTTTGCCGTCCACAAGTTCAGTGAATTAAATAGTTTTATTTTGGACACGCCGTCTCTGCTGTCATCAGCATCACAACTCCATTACAATATAACATGAAAGTGAAACTTGCCTTCGCAGAAATAGTGCTCAATGTGTAGTGTTTTACTCAACAGGTTTTACAATTTTGAGCTGACAAGCGCGATGCGTAGATGAGGCGTTCATGATCACGTCTGCCAAAATTTGCAATGCTATGCGCCGCGGAAATGGGTCAAATTTCAAGATCAACACTGCTCCCCCTTCCTTTTGCGGGCGCACGCCCAGAGAATGAGGGCATGACGTGCGCGTATGAATAGCACTATGTACAAGGAAATGCAGTGATATTGGTTGTCTACGTAGACGACTGTGATCTGACGTTGCCAACAGTAATACGTGACATGACAAAAATTATTTAACACGACATGTGTAGTCTATATATTTGTTGCTTGAAGAAATGAAGAAATATTAGATAAATGATGAGACGCAACAAGGAAATGTGAGCGTTCTTTTTTTTTTCCGTGAACTGCAACGAGATGCGGGGCTAATGTGCCGGCGCTTCGCATGCGTTCGTGTCCCCACGGTCGGTACATCGAGCAGATGACAGCCGTGGAATGCTGCTACGCATTCGCGCACTCATTGTGCTCATCTATTCTACCGCGTCTAAGCCAGCGTTTCCAAGCCATCCCACAGAAACAGACAACGATGGTCAATAAAAAATTAATAGTAAGAAAAAAACGCCGCTTGCGTGCACGAGGGTTGGGCTTGTTCGGCCACGTCATGCGCATGTGAACTTTTGGTCGGATGCCGAAGAGGGTAGGGAAGACATTTAGCTTGCGAAGGCAACGTGAAGGAGCGGCAAGAGTTTCGAGCTAGCCTACTCTCATCCTCGTTTTGCGCCGCTACAAAAAAAAAAAAAAAAAAAACCGTTTTTCAGCTTGTAATCAACCGATTCAAAAAATTTTTGTGGCAAAATGTTTCTCATCACCCAACAATTTCCACGGTCTAACTAAAATTTGGTATGGGGCCTGGAGAGTGGCCCTTTGAATGAGAGCTTGTACAAAGTCTATTGGTGCACCCACACTGACTTCGATGCACCCACATTGACGGCACATCTCCATTGCAACGACTAACACCAATGATCATGATTAACCTAACTGTTGTGATATGTATCTGAAATTGTTAACATTTACCTGGACACAGCGCATGGTGAATCCCACACAATCAGGGCATCAACAAGCAAATAATAAGCACTGGTACTTTAATACTTCAGGACACAAACCACACAGTGCGCGCTTGCAAGTAATACGGTAACAAACACCTGTGCCCTGTGCTCATGCAGACATGCAACGCTCAGTGGTGTTTCACGTCTCACTGACCTAAAGCCCATGACTGACCTCTCTCTCGCTCCACCAAGGCATGGCATTCACCCGTCGACACTGTTGCTTTTCTGCAGCGCTTATTGCAGTAGTTTAATTAAACAATGATATCATACTCAAAGCAGTCAGCAGCAAAGAAGCACCATAGGTGTATATGGAAGCTGCACTACTCTGACAATGAGCCATCACTCGCTAACACAAAGTGAAATGTGAAGAAAGTGTGTCTGGGGTGACTTCCCAATGCCACCGCAGCCAGTGTTTTCTACTGGTATTGTAATACTTCAACTATGGCCTCTTAAAACTCCATGCTTTAAATGCGCCATGACCAAATATTTACCCATCAGCACTAATAAACATCATGCCGCATTGCTTTTGCTTGCCGCTCACAGACGTCAGCACCACACTGCCCCACCTAGCCCCTCAGATGGAGAACGCCTGGAGATGCATTTGTAATGATCCGTGGAGCTGCCTCGGTAGCTCTGTTGGTAGAGTGCCAGGCACCGATCATCGCGGACTGAGAGTCGTAGGTTTGATTACTGGCGGAAGATTTTTTTTTCCCTTTCTTGCCTGCATCCATTTCATCAAAATTGTATCTGTGATGGAAATACGTCATAAAGTCTTGGTGGACGCTAGCATAAAATACTTTCATGTTAAAAGGCTAGCAGATTCACAACATTGCTATAAAGCACTCTCACCTGTAGCATGGTGATGATGTGACAGGGGTTGAGGATGTAGATGACAGTGCGCGAGGCAAACTTGAAACCAAGCTCCATGCCAAACACCAAGCATAGCAGCACCAGTAGGCAGCGCTTGCCACCCCGATCTTCACGCACAACCTTTGGTGCTGGAGGCACCTGCATCCCAAAAATATTCAGCTCGCTTCACCTTGCCACAAAATGGCAGGAAGTTGAAGATGGAATCTCGCGATGAAAGAATTCCGCGAACAGGGGTTGTGTGCTCGAGCCAATATTGCAACAAGCATACTTGTTCTCTAGCAAGAACGTGTGTTCTAGCCTTGATTAAGACAAGTTCACTTGTCGAAACGTCGACTAAAACACACATTCCCCAGCTACAGATTTTTTTCATCTACCTTGCCACAGTTATGTACATGACACATGGACACTTGCAGTCAATCGTACTGAGACAGATTCCCGCAATTCTGTCTTGAAAAATTACTTTAAAAACATTTCTTGCATGTTAACATTAAAATAGACTGATAAAAAAATGGAGCTGGGGCAATGTTTATGCTGTCCAAATACTTTTTTTTCGATAGCTACCCCTGACTGAATATAACTGTGCAACTTTAGTAGGGAGTGTCTTAATCAAAGTTTAAGAATGTCTTTGTCATAGTTTACAGCCAATTTATTTATGTCCACTGAAGGATAAAGGCCTCGTCTAACTCATCTAGCATGTACTATCTTTCGTGAATTAATCCCATTTTGTTCCTGCAAACTCAACTGAATTACTTCGTCCGCCATCATCAGCTTATTTTCCTTTCACTTGGCATCCACTGGTTGTCTTCTGCCCTACACATCATGCAGTCTTTTGTTTACCATCAGCTACAACTTTATGTTGCCAGACCCCTTCTACATGTTTCTATCTCTTAGTGTTATTCCTGTGATTACCATTGCATGCTGTGTGGTCTTTATTTTTTCAAGTTTCTTTGTTTCAGCAGTATGTGTTAGAAGACAGAAACAGCAGCAGTTTGGAGAACATAACCACGAGTGAAACAGGGTGAAAATGGATGTGCCAAGTGAGTGTATACGACCCGCCAGCCAGGTAACTGAGAAATAGCAATTAACCAGTGAAATTATCTCATGCTATGTCATTAGCTACAGCAAACATACAGTGTCCAATGCTCAGTGGCACTAGTGTCAGCCGAAGCCGGTCGAGGCCACAGGGCGGAGCGTTTCAGTGAAGCGTGCCGACGGCTGAACATATACTCTCATGCAGACTCCATAAATCGGTTATCGTTAAAAAAAATTTACCATTTTTCAGGCTATTACTAATCAAATGTGTGACAAAGCTACAACTTCACATTTGCATGACACAATGCGAACATGCTCCCACAAAAATTTAGCGAATAAGTGCTGCAATAAGAAAGCTACAGGATATAGAACACCAGCTTTAGCTGTTTTCAGTTTCTCGCTCGGCCTTCTCACCCTTCTGAGCCATGGAGGAGCTGGGCATAGCCCGCTGTAGTGACTGTGCCTACTTCGACAAAGTAACACAATGTCAATGATTACGTCACCGGAACGCAGCCAATGATCCAGCAAGACTTGTTACTATTCTTGTTCAAGTGAGAAAGGCACTAGGGTCCCCTAAGTGGCACGAAGGAGAACCATGATAAATGCGCGGCCAAAACGGCATCGCTGTGGGGCTAAGCTGCTATTTTGTAGTGCGGAGAACCAATTCACAAAATTGGTGCACCGTAACATTGTTCATGGACAAACTTACATCACTTCGTTTACGAGGAGGATTGAACAGAAGGTAAAAAAAAAAGGTCACAAGGATCGTTTTTCAAAATGAAACGTATACGTAGTGCACAGCACTACGATAGTCATAAAATGAGATCGCCGTAGCTGTCTGCACTAATTGGTGAGCTTGTTTGGGAGATCAGAACCTTCCATACTTTCCTGATATGATTTCTTAATCCATCTTTTGAAATTCATTGCCATCATTGCCAGCGAATGCAGAAAATCAAAGGCACTGCTATGATTGCTGAAGAGCAGTACGACATTCCTGACTTTCCTTTTCTTTATTTTTTTTTGGGGGGGGGGGGGGCAATGGGGGTTCCATATTGGCAATTTCTATTAAGCTTCTGTAAACGCTGGCTCCCTATAAATAACCTACCTTCCACATATCAAAAGCTTTTTTTTTTGTCATTAATGTCATGAGGTAGGAAGAATTTCCTGCAAACCTGAGTATTGTACTTTTTTTTTCTTCAAGGTACTCGTTCAAGGATGATCCTACCTTGGCCTTGGGCATAACAGTGGGGAGGGTTACGACATGGATACAAACATTTTTTTCATTTGGACAACATACTTGCCTTCAGGGAGTTTGTTCCACTACACTACACAAGAAAAAAATTAGCCAACATATGTAGCCTAGGCCAGTATTCATGCATTTTGAGTTTATAACTATTACATTAGAAAATGCATCACTTCGTTGCAAAGCGAAGTTTTTGCACTGCTAACAGCAATGAAGTTATCAAGAAAACAAGCCGACCACACTCCTATCGTCACGTACCTATTTTTGTTCCATGGTAATAATCTGTTTGGAGAAAGTATTGGAAAGGCCACCTCAGCTACTGTTGATCCCCTTCCCACAACCCTAAAATAAAATAGAGCTCCACTGAATTCACCTCCGCTGTTACTTAAACTTAAGCCGTTTTCACACGAGGAGACCAAATGAGATTTCATGCTCGGTATATCTTTTTTCCTATGTATGCACCGGTTAGGCAGTAGCAGTTTGTAGACATCCACTGCGATCCCGATGATATCACAGAAAAGCTACCAGCCAACCATGCGGCCTTCATTGTTCGCAGCTTTCTTAGTGCTGCTGTTGCACTGCAACAGGCAGAGCATAGCACATATTGCGTGTGCTGCACCTTAAAGGGGCACTTCAACACTATAGAAGCACCTGTATATTATTAGTGGTTTGAGCAGACTGACTGCTGGGGATGGTTTTAGCGTAGGTCTAAGCACCGATATCATTTGACTTAGTGTTTTCTTCATGCAATAATGTCACTACATCACTGCTGCATCGGCACATAGTGGCGCTCACCAGAACTACTGCGGCTGAAAACAGCAGAGAAGAGCGCAAGCCTACGATAAGATAAATGTAACGATAGAAGTGATCGCGGCATGGCATGAAACATGAGATTGCTGTTGTGTTTCGCTTTTCTTTTTTGTGCTTTTTCAATGATCCCCAAACAGATGCTGTCGCTTGAAAGAGGATCACTACAAGTGCAAACCAAGACAGAGGTGCAGACTGACATCTTGCCTCTGCAGTTTTTACTTAAGCAGGTAGGACGTCCATACAAAAAAACTCCTCTCTCTTCCCTCCTCTTGCTTCAGTGTGTTTGCAAGCTGCCTCTCCTCGCACGTGTGGTATGTTCTTGATTGCTGTTGAAGCGGCACGCATAATCTTCTTCATTGAGTAAATAATGCTGCACTCTCGTAGTTGTTCAGGTGACTTATCGAACAACCCACAAAACAACTTTGCGCAGTCCCAGGATGCTTGTTCGATAGGGGGCAATCGTGCTTCACCGCCTTTGTCGTTCTACTAATTCCTTTCTCAAAATGACAAAGGCATCTGTGAAATTTTTTTATAACGACATGGAGAGGAATGGTGGACGAAGCCTCGCTTTCAAGCAGGACAACTCAAGCTTCAGGCACCCCATTGCTTGATGCTGTTATGGCATCAGCGTCAATAATACCATGGACAGGACAAGTAACAATGCTGTACGAGCTTGCAGGAGCTTTCAGCTCATTCCCCTGAAATTGCCTCGCATAGTCACTGGAAACTGAAATAGAGTCATGTGACGCTATAAAAATCAAGTTGGGGGTAGACTTCTTTTTTTTGTATTTCAAATTTCCTAGGCTGAGTAACATCGGGCTGCTGTTCTTACCGCTGCCGTTCTTGATGCACTAATGTGTCCATGCTTAGGTATACACAATTCGTGAGGGGTCAAATAGTGTTGGAGAGCTCCTCTAGATGGTTGATGTGACTGTCACAAAGTGCTGTACATTGAAGGCATGTGGTTGGAGTTGAGCACCCAGAAATTATGTTGTATACCATTGAAACGTGTCGGCATTGATGGCAACTTGTGCTTGAAGCACTGGCTGGTATCTTTCTCGCGATATCGTGATGGGCAGTGGATGCGTACTAGCTGCTGCTGTCTAGCCTGTACATCCATGAAAAAAACAAAAAAGGAAAACACATGGCATCTTGTTCGGTCTCCCCGAGTGAAAACTGCTCAAATTCAAGCAACGGCAGAGGCAAATCCAGTATAGCTGTATTTCGGAAGGCTACGTGTAGGGGATTTCCCAGCAGTAGAGGAGGCCTTTCCAACAATTTCTCCGAACATGTGTGCCACGGAAAGTAAAAAAAAAATAAATACAACGTGGTACTGAGAGTGCGATCGACTTGTTTCCTTGACAACTTTATTGCTTTTTGCGGCGCGACAAATTTGCATTGCAATGAGATAATGCATAAAAGTTCGTGAAAGTGGTTTGCGGAAAATCCACCCCAAAAAAGAGGTTTATTCAGCGAAGGTCGTTCATGGCGAACCAACTTCTACAGCGACTTCATAGAAATCACCAATACTTCACCAGAGAGAGAAAAGGAAAATCAGGCATGCTCATTTGCAGGATGGGAAAACAATTCTGGATAACAGGCGATAGAAATGATAGCTCCAAAGGACAGTGGCGGAGTACGCCGGGACAACCTCTCACGGCATCGATCGCCACGATTTCACTTCTGAACTTGATGACAAAAGAAACGACCGACCTTATGGCCCTCGTGGCTATACCGCGTATGAAAAGGGAGGAATCCTGTTCCAAGTTTGATGAGTGCCCACCTGCAGATGCGACCAACTGCACAGCGCAAGCGCCGAAGCCCAGAGCACAGCCAGCAGAGTCTCCCAGAGACGCCTTCGCGTGGATATGAAGTTGGCGCACTCGGGTCCACCGTTGCCTGCCAAGCTGTGGTTGACGCCCGCGTATGCCCACTCGGAAACCGCCGACAATCCACTGTAACAACTGCTTGAGCTGAACGGTTCCATTGTCGCTCACCACACTTTCAGTGAGCGGGAGGCCGTCCGTCGCACAACTCAAGCAAGTGGGACCACACTAGCACAACGTTTATCTCGGAGGCTATATGCAACGTTCATAGACTGGTCGCGTTATCAAGCGGATGTCAGGAGAACCTCCTGCCGGATAAGTGTTAGCAGACGACAAAGTTGCAGCATTGCAGCGCGCTCTGTGCTTCGACTGTGCTAGGAAACATGCATGTATGTTTCATACAATACTGAACAAACCAGCTTTTTTTGTGGCGCGATAAATCATATTCAGCTTAGCAATAAACGTGGGCAAATCACGCTGCCAATGATGGCCCACAGCGTGCACATATTTAATCTCCGCCAAGTTTTCTCTAATTACGCAAGTTAGTGAAATGTTAGCATCTGACCTCTTCCACTTTAATCTCCCGGTTGTTCTATTCTACAAATGAATATAATATCAGAGCACTCGTAATAAATAAGTGATACGTACTTAAAAACAATCTCTGTGTTTTCCTAGGCTTTATGAATCATGCGAGTTCTATTCTACAAATGAATATAATATCAGAGCACTCGTAATAAATAAGTGATACGTACTTAAAAACAATCTTTGTGTTTTTCTAGGCTTTATGAATCATGCGAGGGGCCATCCAATCTTTCGGAGTTACGCTGGCTAGCTCGATCCAAGGCGATCGTGAACTACGCACAACTGGCCGCGTTCCAGGTTCAGTATCATTACTCGATCAGCTGGCGCATTCTGGCGGAAATGAACAAGTTAAAGTCATGCACATGCAAAGCTCTTGAGGCCACGCGCTTCCGCGTTGAGATTCCTCGAGCTTTTGCACACGGGCACATACGTTGCTTTATCATAGCTATAGCCAGCGTTGCGCTGATTGTTTCGTGCATTGTTGATAGGAGGATGAAGAAACTTAACTTTTTTAGCAAAAACAAAAACAAAACTACAAGCACACTGGCAGCAAATCTGCTGCACGATCAAGCTGCGCGCTAGAATCGGGAGCACGGGGCCTAAGACCATAAGCAGCTGGCGTGGAAGAACAGAATATGTATTTAACCTGCAAATATGGAAGGCACGTGCCGTTTCGAGCAAAATTATCAGGACGCACGTTTCATTTAGCTAAAAATGGGTCGACTAGCTGTGCTTGAGGCTACTGCGCGTCCTGGCAGTGCTCCTCCTGCAAGCCTACCATCGATATTGATCCGTTAATTATTTGGAGGCAACCTCACACGCATCCCTCCCTGTTTATTTCACGGCCGCTGGATAAAATCCAGCGTTTGTACCACTACATTAAAACCTTTCACTCGACTTATTCGCCATATTGTATAATTGGCGCAGATCAACGTCGCGCACTCGGCACCTGCGGGCCCGTGGGACAGCGCGCATTTCATCGACTGGCCGACAATTTTTAGTTATTACAGCCAGCTACACGAACGTTGGTTAGAAGCGCCAGTCAAAGTCAGAGTGAAGGGTGTCAAAATAATTTCAACAAGGACGTTTCGTCGAGCTCACACGCTCGGGTCAATCATAAGAACCTAGAGGAAAACTGGTAATTCAGCCCTACCGCAACAGCTACCGTAAGTGACGTCTCTCTTGAATATGCCTTATGATTGACCCAGCGTATATCCCCGGAACAAACGCATCGCCCTTCACTTTCTCCTGGATTGCCTCTGCGCATAAGCAATCATGGTAAATTCGAGTCAACGTGCAATACGACAGGATCTCCTGCAAAAGTGACCTGGACCTGGCTACCGACTTGATAACCGGCACGAGTCACGGATACTGCTTAAATTTGTCCCACCTCTCCCTCAGCTGGACATATTGTACCCGATTTTGCCTAGCTCAATTCCCTCTTCACCGTAATCCTCGTGCCATCACCTACCTCTTCTTTATTCACCTCGACTTTCAACAGCTCTTCCACAGTTGCCTTATTTTTCTGTAGCCTTTGTTTTGTCTTGCTGTCGCCAAAGTATTCTCTACCTCTGCGATCCTCATCACGAACTCACTCTGCAGCCATCACTTCCGCCTCGACCACACATATGCACATGATGCCACCTACGGCCTTCTCTACAGCACAAACCTCCATTTTCAGACCCACCTTACCCACTGAACACTTTTCGACCATGGCTAGATCCGATTCAGATCAATTTACATGGCTTGTCACCACTTAGACGTTGCGACTGATTTTGGCAGTCTGCGCTGCTTTAATCTGGGTCAGCATTCCCTGAAGTAGCGACAACATGGCAGGGTTGATCTGAACGCTTCAGGGCTGTCAGTGCACATCGTCAAACCCCTTCGATTTTATGGCCTAGGAAGCTGTTTGCAGCCGAAGCTGCTCGGAAAAGACGGTCACCTCTGCTGCCGCTTTAGTTCAATGTGCTACTGAGAGCAGCATGCCGAGTGCCTGGCATCCATCTTCTGGCACATTTCCCACACTCCATGGTGTCTTTGTGGCATTGTGACCTGCCTGATGGATAGCTGTCAGAGAGAGACAGAGAAATAGACTTTATTGGGCAAATCCTGCGTGGGGAGGGTGGGAGCACCGCGCAGGGTTCTGCACCTCCTGTCTATCTAGACCTCAACGACGGCAGGCCCAGGCGCGAGCTACTAGGAGTTTGCTCTGTTCGCTTTTGCCGAGCCAGGGCCGCTACAAGCCGCTGGATGGCGATAGCTGTCAGATGCGCCAGTGCCACCATCGAGAAGAGTTAAGATTGCACCTGGCTGCATGGCTGGTTTGCAGGTGCAACATCTTGAAGCGGTCATTGTACTATGCTGTGCCGTCTTATGTTCTCTCCCTGGGGGCAAGCCAGCTGGACGAACCGCACATGCCTCTTCCCTGGGTTGCGACTGAGGCAGTGCTTGATCTTTACAATTTATGAGTTAAGATGAAGACATCTTGAGTGGACTGTTCCCGAACAGAATTACTTTCATCAAAAGGAAATCTTGGGAACACCAAGGTAGTAAAATGCGAGTGTCGCGACGCTTCATATGCTACCATCTTCAAGTGAAGAACACGCTACCTTCAGTAATGTAAATACTGTAAACACTCGTTCCTCCTGTTATCAGCTCCGGTTTCTCTGCTCGACATCTGCCAAATGCGTGGCTGGTTGGCTGGTTCTGGTCCTATGGGTAGGCCCCCCTTTCCCCCCGCTACTATCACCAGTAACCAGTGCTAATATCTAGATGCCACAAAGGGAATAAACTTACTACCAAACTTGGAAGACGCTTCAAATTTGACTTCAAAAATATTAAAGTAGACAGCAATAACGTCACCTTGTGCGCATTGCCTTCTCAATGAAGCCTTTTCATAATTGTGAAGTTAGCTTTCTGCTATGCAGTGTGAACAACAAATGGTGGCTATTCACTTAATGCAAAAAGCTTGTTCAAGCACGGTTTGCATGTGTTATGATGAAGAAAATGTAGTTTGTTCTTTCAATATAAACACTCAAATAGATAAGCACGCTCAACTAGGACCGTCTTGGGCAAATGTGCAGCGCAGAGAAGCGCACATGCAAATTATGAAAAGGGTTCGTTGCTAGCTTGGCTTCATTTTTCTGTGCACGTCTCAACCATGCGGTAAGAACACAGACTACTGTGCATATTATATTGGCTGTTTCAAGCTATCCTAGGATTACTAACATTTACAGATGTTAAGGGCTCACTATGCTACAATTATTTTTTGCAAATCAGAGAAAGGTCCACTACAAGCCCGCAAGGCAACACGCAAACCTATGCAGCTGACCGGTTTGTCGATGCTTTTGCGGCTGATGCCTTAAAATGAGGAACTCCTTGTGCAATTCACTCGTTTGACGCCTACCGCGATTCAATGCATCTGCCACGCAATATATACATAGACTCCTTCCACCACACCACATTTATATGGAGTTTTTTCTGAAGTTTCCAGCAATAGCACGAATAGAACACCTGCCTCCCAAAACTACCTGGGTTTAATCCTCACTCACACTGGAGTGCTTATTTGCATTTGCAATTTGTGAAAAAAGCCTTTTAATGCTATCGCATTTAGCGCTTTGCTCTCAGTATGCCAGGTTCGAAGTGTACAAATTGAAGTTATTCTGCAGGTAACCATTCCGCTGCATGTGTTGATGCAAAAGTTTCTGTACTTTGGCCAGTTGGCAGTGTGCATATCTATACACTCAAACCTCCAAAGTCACATCTGCCACGAAAAATGATTTTGTAATTATTTGTAACTATGAAAAAGCTTTTAGTCACTCGCTTCGTTCTAACCAATGTCATATCCACATTCATTGTATCAAGGTTCAAGTTCTGCATTTTACACAACTGCTTTAATTGCAATTTTCTTCTTCCTACGCCAGTTTTTATAAGCAAACTGTTGCGTTCCTAACCATATGTGATGGCACTTCATGGCTCTTTCATAATTGTGTGTGCAGCTACTTTTCTGGGCACAAATGTGTTTTCTGCTAAAATGCTTTGAAACTGTATCAATCAAGGCCAGTGTATATAAACACAAGTATACATATATTGAGACTGCCATCATGCTGCGACAGGCGTCAGACTGAAGGAAAGTAACGCTACGATGATCAATGCCCTCAGAAATTAGGCACCTGGACTAAAACTGGCCTGCTGCGCTTGCCGATGACTAGACATACAAGAATAATACAGATATATCAAAGTCCGGGAATTTATTATAAACAAAATTTTGCTTCATCAACAATTACAAAATAGTCCAATGTTTTCTTAGCCTAGAGGTTCCTCTCAGCACTTCCTACAGCAGCTGCAGGGGCGTTTTGGCTCTTGGCATCATCACTTATGCAGACCCACTTGCTATCCACAGTCTCCTTCCACAGAGTCACCTGCGAACATAAAACATACGAAATTCCATAGTTAGCTTTGAGGTTTAAATGGAACCTCACAATAAAAAAAGTTCAGGTAGTGGTGCCATGAAAACTGTCTTATGGCAAAGCTGTAAGCAAGAGATTTTGATCACATGGTCTAGTGTACTTACACTTGATTAATCAAACCAAGATAGCGAAGTCGCCCACGGGAAATCTCGTTTTAGCTAATGCCTCTCGTCGTGCAAGTAGCTGCTGGTGCAGCCAGAATTCTGTGAAGCGTGCACTTTAAGGGGGCA